CCTCATTTTGCCGCGAACAAACCAGAAGAATTGATCTCAAAATCAATTTTTATGATTAAATGAAAAATTAATGCACAAAAATACTATTTATAAAAGATATATATTAAAGTGACCGAAGGTGAAAGTCATAATCTAGACAAGAAAATTAAGTTTTCAACTTGTGTATATAGGGTTTAATTTGCTATGCATGTGTACTTGGTATATATTGCAGGTTAGTACTCAAAATAGAGTAGGGCTAACCTAAATTTGCAAATCTTGCCTAATATCCTCAACCATTTGGGTGTTTTCACCCCAGGCACATAAAACGTGCGTAAGTCGTCTCTATTTGAATCAAACGGCATCTAATCCAGCAATAGTTTCTCGAACAACCCAACCCCGAAAATAAGACAGGATTTGGTAGAAGAAGCTGATTAAATTCAAATCAAGAAGAATCAACAAATCTTCAAACCCTTGTTCTGCTCTGTCTTATATAATGGTCTCAAGTTTAGGAGACTGTGAAAGTTTAGGAGACTGTGAAAGGTTTACAGGGTACACCACACGCGGTGCAAATAATAGGGGGCTTATACAGGCAAACGCGGTAGGAACATAGCTAAAACGACAGGTCCAATTCTTGCATCGAAAATGCAAAAAGAATTGGTGAACAGTAATACTGCTTACTATTCATTGAAATTATATTTCTTTCAGGAAAATCTTTGTCAACAGATTTTAGAATGTTAAAAAATGATATTATGATTGAATTGCTGGACGGTAACCAAGAAATGAATCCAAACACAACACGAGGGAGAAGACAAGTACACGGTTGGGCCTATATACTGATATAATTAGTTCGGTGGAGTATATTCTTCTTTCCAATGCTTTTGGAAAGCCAGAAATCTTGTGGCCAGTATAGTTCATTCTCGAAGTTTCTTGAAATCACTCGAGTTTACCCAGGTTAAATCATCTAGCTAGATGGGCAAGGGCAATTGGGTAAAACCATCCTCTCCAAATCCGATCCAACGGTTAATTTCTAATACTAGAAGCATTAGAACTTACATATCAAAGGCCCAAGAGCCATGAACGTTTTTCCTTTATGGCCAAACTTGTGGGTAGGTGGAAGTTTCTAAACAAACCTATTCAATTCGATGGCTAATATCCTTTAACCGAATATGTACCACGATCAACTCGGGAACTAGGAAGCAAGAACTTGGTGATGGGCTGTAGAGATTGGGTCCTTCACTACCATTTACAGACATCTAATGGTTTTGCATTCCTTTGTCGAAAAATAAAAATATACCCACATAAGCTTACTCGATCAAATCCTCACCAAATAATTTGTATGAGACAAATATCAATCAGCAGAAAAGGAATCCGGACATTTTTTCAACTAGTGCGAGCTGCAATGGTCATACTCATACATATTAACATTGTCACATGGACAAGAAACGAGAAGTGAAAGCCAATACATCAAAACCTTCAAACAAAACTTGTTATAAGTTAAAAAAAAAAAATGACCTCTACACTTCATATTATGTACTCAATCACATAAATGTATAAGAACAAGCTGAGAATTTAATTGGCAAATCAATGCTTGTATCACACACATTTCTCAGTATCAGCTGCAGACGAACCATATAAAATTTTATTCTTGATCTTAAAGCAACCGAACAGGCCCAAGAATTAATATGCAAACCACAAGCAAGAACCTCATAATCGTATTCAATCCTCGTTAATCATTAAAATTTGCAACAGCAATAAAAATAGGTCCGATATATGCTGATATGCTCCTTACTCTCAAAATAAACAATTTTAAAAAAATTACCTAAACACATACACACACACACACAAACATATATATAATTAGAGTCTAGACGTGTTCAAACAAAAGTAGACTCTTTCAGAATATGTCAAGCAATCCTACCTTAGTTTCATGGTAATTCTAAAGGGCCACTCCGCTTGCTTTTAGCAACTATAAGCAATGCCGATTTTTTTGAAGTGATAACTAAACAGAAATTCCCAAGGTAACAAGACGAAAACCAAAAATGCAACTGCAAATAAGCATTCTGAACAATTGAATAACTACAAATATATATAAGTAGTAATACCATAATAGCATATTTCCCCGTAATGCATCCACTTCATACCAAAAAAAATTATCATTTAACAGTTTCCAACTCAAAGAGCAATTGCAGTTAAAAGACAATAATAAATAACAAAAACTCTATGAAATCGGGATTGAAAAAAAAAACTCAACCGCATTCAGCTCAGTCCATCGGAACTTCAACATCGCCGTCGGCGATCTCCTGCTGCAAATCCTTCGGATCCTTCCCGTCGACCGTGCATCCAACAGAGACGCACGTGCCGAGAATCTCCTTCACGGTTCCGGCCAGCTCCTTGGCCATGGATCTGTTTCTCATCACCTTCGCGATCTCGATGACGTCATCGAGGGAAATGTTGCCGTTGTGCTTGATGTTTTTGGTCTTCTTTCGGTCGCGCTCGGGCTCCTTGAGCGCCTTGATGACCAGCGCGGCGGCGGAGGGCACGACGGTGACCTTTGCCTGCCGGTTCTGGACGGTCAGCTTGACGGTGACGCGGAGGCCCTTCCAGTCCTTGGCGGTTTCCTTGGCGATGTCTTCACCGATTTTCTTAGGGGAGAGACCGAGTGGACCGATCTTCGGCGCGAGGGAGCTGGCCGCGCCGACTTCTCCGCCGGTGACGCGGACGAACACGTCGACGACCTGCGATGGATCGAACTTCGGCGGCATTGTTGGCGCTGGCTAGGGTTTGAGAGTGAGGAGGGAGAAAATGGGGGGTGGGCGAAATTGAGGAATATAAGCTAGGGTTTTAGTGGAGGATTCAGACTGTATCAAATAAATTAATAAATAAATGGATCCAATTTTTTGGGCTTTTTCGATCTCGATTTCGGGTTTGAGTTATATTGGAAATGGGTCGGTTTAATGGGCTGTAACCCGTTTTGGAGCTTGCTGGGCTGATGATAATTTTGTAGCGTAAACTGAGTATATCTTAAATTTGATATTTTTCTATACTTTTTTGAGGAATTTTTTCGGTCCGAATTTTGTAATTTATCGAAAACATTGGACAAACTCAATCCTCATACGATAACTCGCAAATCGCACGAGAAATATAAACTCTTTACGCAAATTTAAATAATATATTGGATTTAAACATGACATGATTTTTATTATTATTTTGGATTTTATTGGTAAAATGAAGTTGAATTCGCTGAGCAAATAATTACGACAAAAAATAGCACTGATTATCTATGTAGTATACGTCAATGAATCCAACCAATATAGAGGGAGAATGGGAGCTATGTAATGAATTTCACACCCGAAATTGGAGGAAATTCGGGTGGTACCAAAAGACGACGATTATAAAAGATGAAATTGACGCAAAATAAAGGGACAAAACTGTCATTTCAGTAGTTTAACTAGCGTGTCACATTGCATGTTGTAATATTTGGCCACAAAAAGTGGAGAAAATGTGAACCAAATCGAGTCAAAAGCACACAAAATGTAGTAAAATAGAATCTTCTTATCTAAAAAAAAATGAATAATTTGAATGAATAAGTTAGACCCGTCCAAATTACGCAATTACCCTAATTCCTCGCAAGATTTCTTCTCAACCTGTATTATTGTATGAAATGAACCCCATTTTAAAAGGTGCCGTCTCTTTCGTTGTTCATTATCTCTCTCATACATATAATACATATTTGCATTTTTCTGTTTCTTTTTTTTAATTCTTATCACTATTAATAAACATGATTAAATTACTTTACAGTGGTCCGAAATATATTATATTATCTAACACTTGTTTTAGTTATTTCATTTTTTTTCCCTATAATATATAATGTTATGGACATGTTGAAAGTCCCACTAAACCCCTAGTCAAATCAAATGATGAAATAAAAAAATAATAATAATAATCTTATTATTATTATTATTGTTATTATTAATAATAATAATGTCATTTTCACAAAAAGTAGCGTGAGCGTGAAGGAGGAGAATGCTACCACAATCATGCCAATTTTTATGGTCCCTATATTCCAATTTTATCTATGGCATCTTATGCACTGAATATCAAACCCTATATACTATAGACTAACCCCACAATCTTTATTTATGTCGATCAATATTTTATTTAAGAATAATTGGTTACTTTTAATTCATGAGGACATTATGATTTTAAATGTGTTCAAACTTCAAACTGTAAAGAATTATTTTAAATAACTTCAAATATGAAAGAATTCGAAATTTACCATAATTGCTCAAAAACAACTCGAAATGAGCGTCGTAGATTTACAGTTTCTCGTAAAATTGACTCAGTCGAAACACGTTCGATCAATTTCTTGTATTTAATGTCGCGTATACTATATATGCAGATACGAGTATAACGAAATAAGAATTAAGTATAATAGCTTTTTTGTAAGAATATCAGCATGGAGATATATAATTTATTTAACAGCAAATTTGTTTATTATGGTTCATCAATGAAAAATGTATGTCAATAAAATGTTTTTATTTAATACACATATATAAGAGATAATAGAAAATTGATTCAAATCAAAAGAAACAAAAACAATTGCTTGTTGAAAATGTTTAGAAAATGATAGCAGTGAAACTGAAAGATTGAAACGTTTGTCACTTTGTTCTCTCATTTTCTATTTATTCCCATTTTTTACACACACGAAAAAAAAAAATCAATTTTTATTGAAAAAATATAATCAGAATATGAATAATATTTTTTTAAGTTTTTATCTATGCATATTTTTTCCCCATAACTGAAGCACCATTAGGAGGAAAAAAACATATTGAAGATGGTGTTGATAAAAGCAGCTGCAGCTAATACTTTTTCTTATCTTATTACTTAGATTAATTAATTAGTAGATATTGTATTGATTGATGCATTAACTTTAATTAAGTACTTTATCTTCAATTCCTAGCATAAGTGTTAAGCTAACTTTATCACCATAATTAAGAGAATATGCTGTCCAAATACTCGAATACTAAACTAAAACGAAGCATAATCATAATTCATAAAGTTTTCATATTATAAAAACTGTGGGTGGAACGTACACTATATATCCTTTTAAATTAAAACTCGAATTTTCATTTAATCGACACAGAGTACGTATGTACTGCGAGGTATTTTTTTTTTTTTTTTAATTTATTGAGAAAAAAAACTTGGATTAAGAATATTCCAATTGAGAAATAGGCATATTCAGCAACTGCTAGAGAAAATAGCACTCAGTAGTTAGTATTCAGTAATTATTCTAACAATGTTCGGGACGATTGTAATTACAGATAGTACAGAAACCTTAAAGTTATTTTTATATACTATAGGGGTATTAGGTGTAATTTACCGGAAAAAAAAAACTTTACTCCGTTTGAACGGGATTTGGACGTGGCATAATCGAAGGTACAAGCAAACACGTGTCGACTTATCCCTGAACCACGTGAACAGTATCCCCACCTCCTCAAACCAGGCGACAAATTTGAAAGACTCTCGTAAAGAGACAAATGCTAGATTTACCAAAATGCCCCCACTTTGTCATGATGTACCTATATCTAAAGTCTAAACCATGGTTAAACTTGTAACGGGATAGAAATGGAAAAACATCTAAACCACGGTTAAGACTTGAAACGGATAGAAATGAGAATCTAATTTCAATTCTATTCTAAAAAAATTCAAAAATTTCTAATAATACCCCCTTATCTAACACCGATAAATTTTCAATCAAAATTGGAATAATTCATAATATTTTTTCTTGTTTTATTCACTTTGATGATGTTAGAATTAGACCATCTTAAGTATTTGAGATAAAAGGAGCTGGGAGAGTAAGGTGGATCAGTGCTCACGTGCTAGATGGTCCTGAAATACCTGCGAACAGAGAACACGTGAACTAGACCGGGGTGAAAACCCCTCCGACGCTCCAGTCAGATGTGCGGATAGTAAAAATAGTTGAGAGAATACGAATTGCAATATTGCTCAGATAATATGGCGTACCTTTAATAAATGAATTAAGTCGTCATTTATACCTTGTCGATTGGGCTAAGGTTAATTTGTTGGGCTCAAACCTTATTTGAAGGTGATTGAACTTTCGTAATAGTGTTATTCTAAATTTGGCTCATAACCAGTAAATAGAGAAATTATAGATTTATTAGACTGGCTCAATTAAACATATCACACTTATATTATATAAATTAAATAATACTACTTGATGTAGCATCGTTTTTTGAGAAACTAATGTGATGATAAGTTATTACATGCGAGTAAATAATTTAAATATCGTCCTTGTTTATGGAGCACTCTGTCTGAATCTGCTAGATAAACACACGTAAACTAAGTTATGTATTGATTAGATAGATCGAAAAGAACCCCGTATAATTCACGCAATACAAAATAACACATTGTATAAGTGAACCAGATAGATTATATATACATAATTAAATTAGTGAACACTTTTAAAGACCATATAATGAGTTCAAACCCTTAATTAAATAATCTTATATTAGAAAACATATTTAAGATTTTATTTTGAACTTCTAGTTGCTAACACAATATTATAAGATACTGGTAAGCTCATTGGGAAGAACAATTAAACATATAAATATTGATATAATAAAAGTTATTTACTGTTTAGAATTATTTTTGAAAATTAAAGTCGACCCGTATACTATATATTTTAATTTCAACAAAAATAAAATAAATAAATAGATAAAAATCGACTTTTTTGACGTACTCCGTAGAAAACAATGAAGTTCTGTTCCGTTATAATTTTGACACGTAGTCACGGTAATTAATTATAAATCCTGGAGTGGATAAAAGTAAATCTGATGTGGCATATTTACGACTTTTCAGGGGTCAAACACGGACACCTATCGTATGAAAGATCGGAGTTACAGAGGAGCAAATATCAAAATAATCTGATATTTGCTTTCCGGGATAAAAAAATAAAAATAAATACATAAAATAATTCAAATGAATGAGATAGATATGTAGAAGACGACAGTTTTATAGAGAGAGAGAGAGAAGCTAAGGGGGGAGGAGAGAGAAACCTTATCCATTCCACCCCTTTATAAAAGCAGATCAAAACCTCCATTAAGAAGCAGCACATTTACAAATCATTTCATCAAAGGGAGTTTTCTCAGAAGCCAAAGAGTGAAGAGAGAGAGAGAGGAGAAAAAAATTGTTGCAATCAAAATCAATTTTCAATCGGTTGATTCGATATAGATATAATTATTATATATGGCTCAAAGCTACTTCGCCAGATCGAACTACAGATTCCTCCAGGGCGATCAGATCCTCAATAAGGACTCGATGATCTTCGAGCTCGACGAGTCCGACGTATGGGATTCCGCCGCCGTCCGTTCGCAGTCGCCGGAGATGCGGAAGCCGAGTTCCAGAATATCCAGGAAGCCGAGTTCTAGAGGTGTGGGGATGGATCGGCCGGCGTCGTTGCCGGTGAATGTTCCCGATTGGTCGAAGATATTGAAGGAGGAATACAGGGAGAATCGGCGGAGGGAAAGCGACGACGAAGATTGCGACGAGGCGGAGGCGGAGGAGATCAACGGAGAGTGGATTCCGCCGCACGAGTTTCTGGCGAGGAACAGGATCGCATCCCTATCGGTGCACGAAGGCATCGGGAGGACTCTGAAAGGGAGAGATCTGAGCCGGCTTAGAAATGCAATTTGGCAGAAAACCGGGTTTCAGGATTAGATTTTAATTAATCCGCGGTTATGTTAATTAATTCAATTTATTAACGATGATGATGAGGTTTTTTGTTTTCCTTTCTTCCTCCTCCTTTTTTTCTTCCATACATCTCGGCTTTAGATTTTTCATTTTTATTTTTTTTGGTTCGATTTTCCGGCCTATGCTTTTTCTCGTGAGTCCAATTGTTGATCGTTGCATTCTCGCATGCATTTGGCAGAGGAATTTAGAGAGATACTCCTATATTATGATTACTGAATTTATTTTTACGTTTATTCCTTCTTTGTTTTGAGTTTTTGACTGTTTCGTTTATTGGAATTTGGGGAAGAAACCCAAATTAATTTGAAACTTGAAGTCGTTTCAGACGACACGGAATATGATTCTTTTTTTTTTTTTTTTTTTTTTTTTGGAAATTAATTTTGCTAAGTCTTTCTTAATTAATAAAAATAAAAATAATAGAGTTTTAAATGGAATAAATAAATAATATTTCGTCGACGGTTAATTTAAAATAGACGCGGTACCGTGTGCCGGTGCCACCGTGGGTCAATAATTATGTACTATACGACATCGTTGTGAGTCAATAAGTGGTGGCTTGGCCCTGTTGGACTTTTGGGTGGTGGCTTCATCGACAGAATAAAAAATACATTTTTCATCCTAGTTTGTATCTATTTCACATTTTGTTCTTTATGTTTATAAAAAACATAGTTGATCTCACATGTTTTAAAAATTAAAAACTTTCAGTCATTTCTTTAAATTTATGTTAAATCAAACGGAATCAAATGTGTGTCGTAATTTGATAAAAATGACCAAAAATGTCAAATTAATAAAACACGAGGGACCAAATATGTTTTTTTTAACGTAGGGGATCAAATGTGAAATCGTTACAAATTTAAGGGATGAAAACTGTAAATTTCCCATTATATTTTATATTCTTATTTTATGAAATGACAAAAAAAAAAAAAGTCTATAAAACATTTTGTCGTATATGCCCCTGTTAAAATAGACCAAGTTCATGTCACAAAAAGTTGTTGATATTGGCTACCGGGTGACTTGGTCTAAATTGGAAATTGATTAACATTAATTTAATCTCTTGTGAGCATTACATTCGTACTATTTTGAATATAAATATAATATAACTCAATCATTCAAAAATTTCTTTATTGGTGGACGTACGAAGTCAAGTAACCAAACCAGATATTCCAATATTAGACAATTACACAAAATATGTTAAATCAAAACATCATAAATAAATAACTTACGCGTTTTTTTTTTATATAATTGAAGTGTCACGGTTTTAGAAGAAAAATGAGCATCATACGTTGTGTTTGGTGTGACTGCAAGAAATCAATGTGCCTATTTAATTTCAAGGGACAAAAGCATATAATAAAAAAAATAATAAATATATGATATGATAATTAAATATATATATATATATAAGAGGTAATCATCATAACGGAGAAGAAGCGCCGTCGGTTCCGCCTGTCGTTTGTGAAGGGTCACTCTCTCTGTTACGGTTACGGAATTCAATCGGTGGGGTTTAATTTTGATATCGTCACCTATTTATTTTCTTATACAGGAAGAGCCCCACATCTATAAATACATAAATACAGCTCACAATTTATGATATAATTTTATCATCATTATTATTTTTTTTTTAAATATCTTCATTATAAGATATACATGGTTCGGTTAATAAAATCGATCGGAACAGCCTTAAACGAACGATAACGATTATTAACATGTCATTATTTTAGAAACAATAAACTTTTAAAATGAAAAAAAAAATGTGAACCAAAGTCTAATTTATTCAAAGTAGTAAATGAGCCATATTTTGAATAAGGTTTAGGCATGAGTATTTGTTTAGAATTAATTAATTAAATTGGATAAAACAAAGATGTGAGGATTTTCAAAATATTTAATTCTAGTTAAGTCATTGGATAAGATATAGATATTGTAGTATATTATATATTTGATTAAAACAAATACTTAATGAATTAATATCAGTGTAGCACATCTGTGTATTGCAATTTGCAATCGTCTCGATTGTTTCAAACTTATGAGTTTAATCTTTTTTTAACAAAATAACAGTTCACATATAAACTTTTTTTTTAAATGTTAGTAGCTTCAAATTATTTTGTCAAACATTTTAAAACATTTCGATACAGATTAAAAACTATTAATTTTAACAGATGAAAAAAATAACCAGTTGCTGCATTTCAGAAGATATTATTGATTGCCAAAAATATCCGTATATATATATATATATATATATATATATATATATATATATATATATATATATATATATATATATATATATATATATATACATTTCTTGCATGGAGTTGATCGATACAACTCTTGGCCAATCCCAAGGGCCGTTTTGGGGAGTGATATATGACTCCTACATCATGTTCTTCTCAAGTATCAATCACTAGCCAAAATTAGTGACAATGTGGTTTGATATATATATATTGCTTTCGTGACATTTAATTTTAAGGTGGTGATGTTGGTAAATACATAAAAAAAAATAGAAATCAGTGAGTGCGAGTAAATTGTAAATAATTATTATCTTTTTTTTTTTTAATATGGGGTATTTGTAAGTGTCCTTAAAAATCAATTAATTTCGAACATGGAAATTTGCAAAATAAACTTCAAAAGTTGCAGCTTATTTTGATGAAATATCTAAATTGTTTTGATAACTAAAATTTTGGATAATGAAAAATAAGGATTACATTATCAAATGTATTTATTAGTTAGTTACATAAGTGATTTAAAAAATTGGAGAAGCAACTCGAGAGGTGCTTCTCATATTATGGCTTTTACACTATTTACTTTTAGAAAAGCAGAAGCAAAAGCTAGTTTGCAAAAGTTGAAAATATATATATCTCAAAAAATTGAAAAATAAAATAAAATAATCACTTCTGCAAATACGGAGCTTTTAAGTTCTGGGCCTGATAAATACTTATCCAGAACTAACAATCAATTAATAATTCATTTGATATTTGTTGAAAGCCCAGCTTGTTTGTGGGCTTAAACCGACCCATTGTTGCTTCCCTTTTGGGCCTTATTATTATTTTCGTTTCGAGAAACTCCTAAAAAAAAAATCCAAGAAAATACTAAAGTTGAAACAATTACAGTTTTCACCCCTCAAGTTTGTACTAAATGCATTTTGGTCCTCCATGTTAAAGAAAATACATTTTATCCCTCATGTTTCAATAATTTAATATTTTCGGTCATTTACGTCAATTTATTGTTAATCCGTCAGTTAATACAGTGATGAGCACACGATTAGTACTACAAAGCATTGACGAAAAATATTAAAAATATTGAATTTCTGATGAATAACCAAATGTCTTGCGATGCATCATATGCTTGAAATCCATACGAATGTGGCAGCAAAAAAGAAAAAAAAAAAGAAAAAAAAGCTTTTCTAATATTGCTTGCTGTGAAAATCTTTTCAGGGGCATTTTAGGGAATTAACAAGTCAAACTTTATAACAACGCGGATTCTTAACTAAAGTTGTTTCCCACTAACTAACGTGGGGTTGTCTAGGGTCCGAGAGGGGTTGTACTACTCGGACCCAAACGATTGAAAATCAACCAATAAAAATGTGACACGTATGATTTGTACGAACCCCACAAAAAAAGTACGATACCTACCTTATAAGTGAAATTACATAAAAACCCCTATAATTAAAACTTAAGTAACAATTAATAATAATTAATAATTAGGGTCATGACAAGGGACTTAATGCACATTGGTCCACATAAACAACAATCTTTCAAATAAACTCATCACCATGTCTTTACTCTAAAATACCCTCCATAATATATTTTTTATCAATTTCATCCATTATACTCTAACTTCCTTAATATTACACATTGACCCCGAATTTAAACAAATATATCACATTAACCCCCATTTTAATAATTTTTTGAAAAATATTTTTTTTAGAAAATAAATTTTTTTCTGAATTTTTTTTTTCCGGCCAGATTCCGGCGTTGACCTGGCGGGCGTTGTCCGGCATTGAATTTTTTTTTTTTGAAAACATTTTTTTTTCTGATTTTTTTTTTCCGGCCAGTCAACCGCAGTTGACCACCGCTCTCCGACGTTGACTTTTTTTTTATTTCGTTTTTGAAAAAAAAATTCTTAGATAAAAATATTTTAATTAATATTACTATCTTGCCTACTAAATTACTGTCTCGTACAGTAATATAACTATTTCGGACAATAATATTACTGTTTCAGACAGTAATATTATGAATATTATTTCCCGAACCGCAATATTACTAATATTACTGTCCCAAACAGTGACATTATTGCTTGAGACAGTAATATTACGGTCAAAGACAATAATATTACAGTCGAAGACAACAATAATGCAGGCCAAGACGATAAAATTAATTAATACAGTAATATTATTGTCTCAGACAGTTAAATTACTGTTGGAGACAGTAATTTTGAGCCAAGACAGTAATATTAATTAAAATATTTTTTTAAAGAAAAAACAAAATTTAAAAAAAAAAGTCAATTAACAGTTAAATTATTGTATCCGAAAGCTAAATTACTGTAGCCAAGACAGTAATATTAATTAAAATATTATTTTTAAGAAAAAAAAGTCAATTAACAGTTAAATTACTGTCTCCGACAGTTAAATAACTGTGGAGACAGTAATTTAGCAGTCAAGATAGTAATATTAATTAATATATTTTTTTTAAGAAAATAAAGGTTAATTAACATTAAATTACTCTCTCCGACAGTTAAATAACTGTTGAAGACAATAATTTAACAGCCAATACATTAATATTAGTTAAAATAGTCTTTTTTAGAAAGAAAAAAAAAGCCGGAGACCCTGCGATTGAGCTACCGGAAAAGAATTTCGGACAAAAAAAAAGTTTTGAAAAAAAAATGATTTAACGCCGGAGACCGTGGGTCTCTGGCGGTCTCCGGTGGTGGCGAGTCAAAATTGGGGTCAAAATTGAAATTATGGTAAAAAAATGGTTAATTGGTGAAATTGGGCTAAATTAGTTAGTCGAGGTAGATCGTGGATTTTTTTTTTTATTTGGGGGGCAAAGTGCAAAAATGACCAAAGTTAGGGGCAAAGTACAGTTAACCCTACTTTTAATTCTGTGGTTTAACAATGTAAGGTTAATAAAGTAATTTTACATGAAGTACGATGCTGATGGCTCGTGATCATTGTTGTATTTTTACTGGGTTCG